CTCTCTCTCTCTCTCTCTCTCTCTCTCTCTCTCTCTCTCTCTCTCTCTCTCTCTCTCTCTCCCTCCTCTCTCTCTCTCTACTCTACTCTACTCTACTCTACTCTACTCTACTCTACTCTACTCTATGTGTGTGTAAGTGCGTGCGCACGCGCGCGTGTGTAAAATTTATTTATATATTTTAAAACTATACAAAAGACTTATATATATATATATTTTTTTAAAAATATTTATATAAAAATAACAATTCATTTTTATTTCATATGTCAAGCAGTTTGTACACTTTTTCTTCTTTTAGTTTTATTGTCATCTGATATACTTTTGAATGTTCTTTTTTTTGAAGAGTTAAGACTAGTTTGTTCAATTTGAGAATTTCCATTTTGAAGTGATACATCATTATTTGATTCATTTTGTAAAACAAAAGAGCTAAAATTAAAGGGTTCAAAACCTTCAGATATTGCTTTTTGTCGCAACATCTGTGCTTTCTTTTTTAATAGTTGTTTATCTCTCTGTTTACTTTTATTTTTTTCTTTTTTTTAAATTCATTTTTTTTTAACATAATAGTATCTGAATTGGTTTGTGTATTCTCTTGTTGTTCTTCTTGTGTTCCCATATTATTTAATTTTTCCATATTATTTATAGTATCTTTTATTCTCCATTTATTATAGTATTTTGTTTAGTTTTAGTTTTTTTCATTGATCTGCAATAGAAAAATAATAATTTCTTTCACAAATAATTTCATATAACATTAATATTATGATAATGTGATAATATTTTTATTTATATTATTTATTTATCTAATTAATTTTAATTAATTTTATTATTTGATATTAATTTATTTTAATTAATACATACATGTTAAATGGTATTCCAATTTGTATTGCTAATCTATTATATGCTACTTTTGTATCGTTTGCAAGTGATACATGAGTTCTGTACGTTTTAAGTACATTTCCAATATTATTCCACTTCCATGCTTGTGATAAATGATGAGTATGAATACTTCGTAATAATATTAAAAGAAGACAAATATATCTTTGTTTGACTTCTTTTCTTATTTCATTGCCATTAGTAACAGCTTGTTCACTTTTAATTTTTTGTATATTGGATAACTCTTGAAATATATTTATAGTATTTTTACATATTTTTTTTTCCAATTTCATTCTTATATCAAAATGTTTTGTATCTAAATGAACTAGTCGACTATTATTATAAAAGATAGTTAAGAATTCAAGTGCATACCCCCGACGGAAAGATCTTATATTATTATCAAAAGCAAAATCTACCTGCAAAAATTATAGACTATTAATTAGAATTCATCAAGACAATTTATTAAAATGAAAACTAAAAATTTACCAATAAAGGAGCTAATTGCCAATTACCCTCCCATTGTAACTGTAAAATGGTTTTAAATAACAAAGGTGATAATACACAATCTCTTCTTTTAAAAAAAGCTCTTAAATTTTCTTCATAAATTTTAATGATTGTATCTATAGATATATTAGCCTGCTCAGCACATCTCACGAGAAATGTACAACATTCAGCTAATTTATCACTCATTTCATGATAAACTGATGTGGTTCTTTCTCCTTTTTCTATTAGAGCCTTAAAAATATTTTTTTGTTAAATAATAAATATAAAATAATTATTAATTTTAAAATATAATTACCTTTAATATTATTGTTAATAATTCTTCATTAACATTTTCTATGTCTTTGAATTTTTTTACCATTGATAATGTTCTTAAACAAGATCGAACTCGATCTTGAAGAGGTTTCTGATGAGGATCTTTTATACAAAATTCTAATAATGTAAAAAGAGGAAGCAACATATCAAGTACAATTGCCATTGATGGAGCATATTCTAAATAAGTTTCTAATAAATCTATGACTCGAATTCTAAAATGAGTTAAAGCTTGTGCTGATTTTTCTTGTTTTTTGGACCGGAACTGACGATTTTCCCGAAGAATCCTAAATGCTGCTGCTAACGATTCATCCAATCGTTTTCCTTCTTCTTCATCAATGTTTTCTACATTTATATCATCATTATCAATTTGAACAGAAGCATCGCCTAATGCTTGACTAACTGCCATTCGTAATCTATCAGTTATTGTTTCATCTTCGTTTTCATTTGTCGATTCTTCATTTGAATCAGAGTCATTATCTGATGAAGTCACAATTTCATCATTAACATTTTCTTCATCACTTTCATCATAATCTGTACTATTTAAACTTGATTCCATATCTGATGAAATTTCATCATTTTCATTATCAAAACCATTTTTTGGTACAAGTGGTGCTTTCTCAGTTCTTACATCTAATACCTAGAAATAAGAATTTCGAAATATAATGACCAATCTTTTAATTATATTTATAAAATTTACGTACTGCTAAAATTTGATGTATAGCTGTTGGTGTTATATAGGGACAAATATGTGGAAAAACACATCCTACTAATGATCGTAATAAATGACTATTTTTTGAATAGAAAGATAATAATAGATCAACAACTACTTCTACCCATTCTGGTTCATCATCTTGTTCTTTATTAACAGTTTTATATTTTTTAGATTTTTTTAGTATTCTTTCATAACAACTTTGTAGTTCATCTATAGTCATAATTGCCATTTGTGGATCTGAAAATAATTGTAAACCCATATGCAAATTCATTGTATGAAATAAAGGTATAGCATCTGTCTTTTTTGAATTATTTTCCAAGTTTTTAATTAAATGTGTCACTTTTTCCCACGAAATTTTAGCATCATTCACTAATGGATTTCTTAATTTCAAGGTTTGTTCTTTTAAATGAATGTCCAAGAAATGAACTAATTCACTTAATATATTTCGTAAATCACTTAATTTTGGTAATTTGTGATCTAATGCATGATAAAATGTTTCCTTAAATTGTGCTATAACCAAAAAAAATAATTATAATATAAAATATATGCGATTGATACTATAATATTAAATGTAGAAATAATATTTACAAGCTAGATCTATTCCAACATTTGGCATTTCACATAATCCATAAGTAAATAAAAATTTTAATTGATCCAATTTCCATTCTATATCCATAAACATTTTAGGATGTCCTATTAACCTAATAATAATAAATTACTATTATAATTGCATTAAAAATAAAATTTCATATTATAATATTATATTTCTTGAAATATAAGTTTAATTAATTAAGTACCTTGTTAATAAATGAGCAGCATAAATTCTTTCAGCATTTGTCCAAAAAGATTCTGTTTTTAAATTTGATTTGTCTCTAGGTACTTTATTTTCAATTATATCTCTGTATATTTTTGATACTTTTTTTATACCATCTAAATTCAAATTTCCAGTAAGCATTTGAATTACTTTTGTACCTGTTTTTTTTTCAATCATTAAATCACCTGGATATAATATTAATTTTTTTAACACAGCAATTTGTATTTTTAATTTAGTATCATTACTATTTGTAGCTAATATTAATAAATTTAAGATTTCTTTGAATCCAAGAAGAATTTCATCTTTATTATGATATTTAGATCCAGAACATTTTTTTAACATATGCTGTATATAATTTGGTGATAATAATGATGGAAGTATAGATTTATCTACAATATTTGATAATATGAGTTTGAGAATCTGTATAACCAAATATTCATCAGTTTTAGATGGTTTTATAAATTTTTGATCTATATAAATCCAAAAATCAATAATGAGTTCAGCTGACATTAAATTCTCACAAAATAATTTAAATATTGGATGATGACATGATATAATTCTGGGTAAATCCTGAATATCAATAATGTATAATTAATATATTTTTTATAATAATTTTATAATAAATTTATAATATATACTTACTAATAATATTTTCACTATGTTATTCATAGATTCTTTGCTGATAATATCTTCTGTACCAAAATGTTTTTTTGAAAATTCATTATTTACAAGTAATGGACATTTATTCCTTATTATTAACAAAGCATACAATGAATCTAATGTTTGTTCTGTCCATGGTTTGCCAAATTCTTTTTCAATAATTGGCCAAACTGATTTTTTAATACATTCAGTATCAAGTTGATTTATAAATTCAACAAGAAATGAAACAGAAACAAATGATAAATAACTACGCTGTTTGCCTGCATTAATGAGATCTTGTATAGTCTGTAGTTGTATTTCATTAATACTATTTAAAAGTAATTTAGATCTTATTAATGTTCCATATGCTAATATGCGCCCCATATAAATATCACCATTTTCCTAAAATAATGTGATTAATATTAAATATAAATGTTATATTAATATGTTATATTAATATTGTGATATAATACATATTGATTTTCTTACACTTTTAGCATTATTATTTACTGGATGTAATTCATTGTTTACTATAGATAAAAATTTTTCTATAGACATTTTAGGATTTATTATTAGAAAAACTGTCAGAGTTGTATAAAAACCTATTCGTGAAGTTGTTTTTGAAGAGCCTAAGCTTCGAATAAGTCTTTTTATAGCATATTTAAATTCTTGGGTATCATTATTCTCCTAAAACATATTTGTATATAATTTATCAATATAAAAACTATGATGACTTTTCGCGTATAAAAATGATTTATTTTGAGGTTATTTTTAAATTAATACTTACTGAATTTTGTTCAATTAAATATTTTAATAGGACAATTCCACCATGTATTCTTTCAGATTCTGTTTCATTTCTAAGTTTAGTAAAATAATCAAGAACTGTACAATCCATTTTATTCATTTTATCCTTCATTTTAAAATCATTTGAAATAGGCTCTAACATGTGCATAGTCTCATCCGCCATCTTGCTTTGTTTTACCTAAAAACTACGCTAATCTAATAAGTACCTACATAACAAATATATAAAAACAATTGAATGAATTAGTATTTTAATACCTGATCTTATAATAGTAGTTATTTAAATGAAACAAATAATGAATAGAATGTAAAATCAAAAGTGTATATTTCATTTTTGAATTGCATAGACTGTCAATCGTTTTCGTTAAAAATTTCGTACCTTTGTGTAGAACTGTCGAATTACTATAAATAAAAATTTCTAGTAATATTATGCAATTCAACTACATAAATAAATTATTTTTTGAAAAGAACTTATCATAATCTAATTGTTAACAATTCATAGTAAAAATAAAAGTAATTGTGTTCTTTATTAGAAATTTTTAATCTTTTGATAAATTACTATCGAAATTCATTAATGCAAGTAACGATCCCTAACTAAGTAAGTTTGCATAGATTGATGATTTCAAATTCTTTAGTGATTAGAAAAGTGCCATCTTGAACATAGTATTGCACTCGACCCGCGCGGTCCCGGTCAGTTTCGTGCATCCAATATGGCTGGTCGAGGTGGTTACGAAGATTCAAGGCAAGTATAGGTTACAATTTCTTTCATGTATAACAATTATTGAGATTTTTCAATACAATGTAAGGATAGTATTTAATCGATGTACCGAATTGATAAAAAAACTGCTCTTTTCTTCAATAATTTTACGATTTTAAGGTTAAGTGAGTTTTGATTAGAGTGCAGCGCAGCACCTTACAGATATGGTTCCTTCGACACGCGGCTTTATTTTGGCCGGCCAAACAATAGTATATTTTAGTCATAATATTATTGATAAAAATATGAACTAAAAATTTGTGATATATATATAATACATTTGATTAAAAATATTATTTGGTATAACACATAAGAGTATTTAATTCCACATTATTCACTAGAATATGTGCTTATGAAAATTAATATTCTAATGAGTGTCACAATTATGAATCTATATATTGTTATTATTATTTCTATATATTATTGTTATTTTGTAGTTAATTCTCAAAACTGAATATGAAACTTTTTGTAATTCTAACATCAAATGATTATTATGTATTAAATTTAAAATAATATTATTTTTTTCATTAAATTAATAGTTAAAAAAATAATTAAATACAAAAATAATGCTTATTTTACATATATTAATTGTGCAAAATATTAATATCATATATGTAAAATGCATATGACTATACATTTTTTTTAAACAGAGATTATGGAGGTGGATATAGAAGTGGCAGAAAGCCATTACCAACAGAACCTCCTTATACTGCATTTGTGGGAAATTTACCAAATGGAATTGTACAAGGAGATGTTGATAAAATCTTCAAAAAACTTAATGTTAAAGGAATCAGATTGGTTAAAGATAAAGAAACTGATAGGTTTGTATAGATGAAACTAATTATAATATGATTGAATTGAATATTTTATAAATAATACAATACAATTTTATAAATAATATTTTTTTAATATTATATCATATATTTAATATTTGTTTTTTTTCTATAGGTTTAAGGGTTTTTGTTATGTTGAATTTGAAGATTTAGCAGACTTAGAAGCTGCATTGGAAATGGATGGAGCAGTAGAAGTAGATAAAAGTGTTATTAAAATAGATGTAGCAGAGGGCAAGAGAAATGACCGCGGTGGTTTCGATAGGAGAGGGCGGAGTGGAGGTAGCAGTGGAGGCTTTAGAGGGAGAGATGGAGGCCGCGGAGGATATGGTGATGATTTTGGAAGCAAATCTATGTATTCTAGTAAGCGTTATGCTTTGCATAACGTATATAATAAATATCTTTTAAATTTAACATTATATAAATTAATTAATTGGTACAATAATATTTTCATAATATTTAAAAACTTATAAGTTTATAAAATAAAATTTTATATATTTTGTATATATAATTTCATGTTTTTCATATATAAGAAAAAGACGCATTATTATTAAAAATTAAAATTTAATGTAATAATGTGCAGGAGGTTATGTAGGTCAAGGTCAAAGCCATGGTGGTAGACAAGGCAGTACATGGGATATGAGAAGTAACCGGGGTAACTACAGTCAATTTAATGATGATACAGGAGGTGGAAGTCGAGAATGGTCGCGTAACGCTTCATCTAGATCATATGGTAATAGACCAGCTTCTCGTGGAACTGGAACTGAACGAAAACCATTTCATGATGAACCATTTCATAAAGATCCACCTCCAGGTTTGTTATATATAATATTTGATTTTATCTTTAAAAAATGATAAATAATCTTAATATTATTATAGCTGATACAACTGGAAGGAAACGTCTGGTATTAGCACCAAGAACAATTCAGGATCCCATAAATGCAATTGCAGAATCAAGTAAATCAAGTTCAATTTATGGTGGCGCAAAACCTCGGGAGGAAAAAATTAATACTGACGACAAGTAAACACATTATGATTACTAGTTTCTGATTCCCTAAATTTCAGGGAAAGGAACTTTCCCAACAAAAACATTTGGAAACCAATATAAGATCCCTTAGTTTCCTCAAATGTAGTGGGAAGAATCTCTTCAGAGATGAGAAATTGTAATAATTTTTATTTACCCCTAAGGGGAGTCTTCCCCATAACGATGAAAAGTGATTTAATGAGATTCTTAAGTTCTACGTATTTGGCATTTTTAATTAAGAATAAAATTTTTTCATCTAGTGCCCTCTCTATTTACACTAACTCCTTAGTTTAAAAAAATGTAATAATAAATTGGAAACTTAAAGTAAAAATTGTGTGCATCATGCATGCTCGAGTAATATTGGTTATGTGTAATTATATGTATATACATATGACCAATCGTATCATATATGTATATATATATATATGTACACACGTGCGCGCACACACAGACTTGAATTATTTGTGTATATATATATATATATATATGTGTGTGTGTATATATATATATACACACGCGATAATGATGTGATACGGAAAGTACATTTTAATGTTCACGTCAATTTCATGTTGGGTGTTGTATCAGTTTATAATAATATTAATGGTATGTGTACAAACTATTATAAATATATACTATCACCATACATATTTGATTCCGTAAAAACTGATCTTCTAATAATATAGTACTCAAATAATCTTTGTTTTAAAGAGTACAAAATATTGTCCGTCTTTTCATTTCCTTCCTTATAATTTTTATGTTTCATTTTAATACCAATCATTGTATCTGCTTATTGAGATGATTTATAAATAATTGTTTAATATTGAAACTCAATTTGATTAAAAATATTAAACATTTATTTATGCGCTTGTGAAATAATGACAAATAATTATAAAACATAAAAAATATTTGAGTGATTGAAAAAAATTATACATCACTAAATAATATGAGGATAATGTGCCGATTATTACGCATTAATATTGTGTAATGAATTAATTTACTATGCTAGTAATAAATGTCAATCATTTGAAAAAGATATTGATAATTATGAGATAAATAAAGAAAAACTTATGATAAAACTTAATGATAAATATATTATATAAAACTATGCTTGTATATGATATTATTTCCTGAATAAAGTAGTCGTTTGCCTTGTATTTGTGTAATGTATTTTTAGAAAATTAAAGAATAAAAAAATAAAATTGTAATATTTTTAATATAGTTTGTAAATTATTCTTAAATAAGATCATTAAATATTCGCTTTTAATATAAACGAATGTAATTAATTAAAATCAATTTTAATTTGCATTTGAAACTAAATAATTAATAATTAATTATCCATTTAAATTAAAGAAGTTAAATTATGATTACATAATTCAATACTTGTTATCATAGAAGTTCATACTTTTATCAAAAGCTTATTTCGGCAGCCACGCCTAAATTTCTCCCTTATTAAGGGTTATTCCCCTCCTTCTTTGTAATATAGATATACCGTAATATTTTCCTGTACAGTCAATGCAATATTTTTCTTTTATATCCAATGAATTTACAATAAAATTGTTAATTTTTTTAAATATAATTTTGCTTTTGTTTAATAATATAATAAGAATATAATGTCAATTAAAGCAAAGAATTTAAAATTCAAATAACCTATTCAATTTATTCATGATATATGTATACTTATATATATTTCGAGTATGGCTGTAATCTCGTCTTCTGTCACAATACTGCGCTTGTTAGCTTGAAATTTAGTTTTGGATTATCTTCAATATCGTTTAAAAATACCGTACTGATTTCTACTTATTGTTTAAATTGAATTACGACGAAAAAATGTCTAGTGAAAGTGTAAAAACAGTAAGTAATATAACGATGAATAATTTTTTTATAAAATATTTTCATACTTTTTTTATAAAAAAATATTCATTATTTATTTTAAATATATATATTTTCTTATATCACAAAAATATGATTTTAATTTAATTTAATTCTTATTTTCTTTATTAGTTTGCTAGTCTTGAAACACCTGGATATGTGGGATTTGCAAATTTACCTAATCAAGTTCATAGAAAATCAGTAAAAAAAGGTTTTGAATTTACACTTATGGTTGTTGGAGAATCTGGTCTTGGAAAATCTACATTAGTAAATAGTCTATTTCTTACTGATTTATATCCAGAACGTATAATTCCTGATGCTATAGGTAAATTAAATTTTGTTTATATTTTCATTTATATATAAATGAATAAAATATATATATAAATATAAATAAAAAATATATATCTTATATATGATAATTACTATATTAGTATAATTTAAATAGAGAAAACTAATCAAACTGTTAAGCTTGATGCTTCAACTGTGGAAATTGAAGAGAGAGGTGTCAAACTTAGATTAACTGTTGTTGATACTCCTGGATATGGAGATGCAATTGATAATACAGATAGTTTTAGAGCTATCATACAATATATAGATGATCAATTTGAAAGATTTTTACGTGATGAAAGTGGCTTAAATAGAAGAAACATAGTAGATAATAGAATACATTGTTGTTTTTATTTTATTTCACCATTTGGTCATGGGTAAGATATTTTAATTATAATTTTATTTTATTATAATATAATAAAGATACCAACATGTTTATATTTCTTTTTATTTTCAGATTAAAACCTTTGGATATAGAATTTATGAAGCAACTTCATAATAAAGTTAATATAGTACCAGTAATTGCAAAAGCTGATGTACTTACAAAAAAAGAAGTATTGCGTTTAAAAAAACGAGTTATGGAAGAAATAGAAGGCAGTGGAATAAAGATTTATCCATTACCAGATTGTGATAGTGATGAAGATGAAGATTATAAAGAACAAGTTAGACAACTAAAAGAAGCAGTTCCATTTGCTGTATGTGGAGCAAACACATTATTGGAAGTAAAGGGACGAAAAGTACGAGGGCGATTATATCCATGGGGTGTAGTAGAAGTTGAAAATCCTGATCATTGTGATTTTATAAAACTGAGAACAATGTTAATGTATGTAATATTAGTTTAAATGAATATATTAAAGAATAGAATAGTTTTTATTATTTATTGTTTTTATATTATATTATATTATGTTATATTTAATTATAGCACACATATGCAAGATTTACAAGAAGTGACTCAAGAAGTACATTATGAAAATTATCGCAGTGAAAGACTAGCAAAAGGAGCTCCTGTACCACCTCGAAGACAAACGTAAGTATTATAATTTTTAAAAAATATTCGAAATTTCTTTTTTGTTAATAAAATTCTTTTATTTTTTTTTTCAATAGAATTGCAGAATCTGAGAGAAGTAATTCTGTTTCTGAGAAAGATCGAATATTGCAAGAAAAAGAAGCTGAGTTACGACGAATGCAAGAATTAGTAGCAGTAATGCAGGCACAAATGCAACAACAACAACCTTAATTATATATATATTTTCTGCACAAATATGTGAAGAAAAATTAATTCTTCACATTACAGGTGCCAAAAAATTATATTAAATGATCAATATGCTATTCAAAACATAATTTGAGAAAAAATTTTTACAATTTTTAAAAGTTTATTTATGACAAATATAATTAAAAAATATACATTTCTTATTCAATATTTTTGTTTTACATATTAAATCATGAACAAAATTCAGTATTTTAAAGACATAGAAAAGTAAAATTAAAAGTATAGGAAAAATTACATATATATACTGTAACTATAATTTAATAACCATACAAGACAGAAATGCGTAATAAGTGCCTTGCATATTTTTTTTAATAAAATAATTTATAATTTTCATTAAAATGCAAATATCAAAACTAATACAATCCATTTTATAAAAATAAAACTGTTATAAAGAATTTGTATTTCTTAAACAAGATGTAGTACAATTAATATTTGGTAAAATATATTATAATATTGAAATATATAGAATGTAACAACAAAATATGCAAAATTTTTCAAATATTATGCAAAAATTTTATTTCAAAAAAGAGAAACGAAAATTTATAAGATACAATATAACTCCAATAACAAGGAACTATATAAGTTTATAAATTGTATAAATACATATATACAATAACATTTTATAAATATTGATATTTTACACAAATGACAAAGAAATTGGTAGAAATATATATATACAATTTGCATATCTTCCAATATTCCATATATTTTTTTATGAAAAAAATTTTAAGACTGCCAATATTAAACTATTAATAATCATTCACAATATTTAGAAATTAAAAGTTTATTTTATGTTGTGATAAGCAGTGTTAAATGTAAAGTGTAGCTTTACATGTATTTTATTTTCAATATATAAAGTATCAAGTATTAAGAATTATTTTTACTTAAATATTCTAGTAATCTTTAATTACTAGTATCTATTTTTAAATCATTTTATAATTTTTGTTAAAAAAAATGTATGCAATTTAAGAAAAGTATTGTATTAAAAATAGGGAACTTTCAGAATGTAGGTAAAATGAACATCAATATATATTACATGAATTTTATTTTATTTCTTAATTATTGTACTTATATATGTGCACTTTTATATTAAGAATATTCTTATGCTTTTATACGTATTGTACAGGTATACTCAGAGTGTGTTTTATACTTTTTTTTGTATAAATATATATCTAATAATATGTGACATTGTTCAAGATTTATGCATATAATAATCTATTACTGTTGAAAAAGCTGCAAAACCTGCTGCTCCAATTAAACCTGCTTTTATACCAGCTAAATCATAAAATCATATTAAAATTCAATACTTATATATATTAAATTTATATTTAAATTTAAGATAGTACCTCTTAATCCTATTATTCCACCTGTTAAGCCACCAGCATATGTACCATTTTTCCAATCAGTTTTTCCTCTATACTAAAGTAAAATTCTAGAATAATATTATAATACATAGATAAACATAAATTAAATTACAATTTTATGTTGAATTTAAGAAATTATTACCGATTCTATTGCACATTCAATAGCTGAATATACACAACCAACTACTGCAAAATTTTTTGCATAACCCAATGTTGTAATTTTCATTTCTCTAAATACTTCACGGACAGTTTGTTGTTTTTCAACACTGGCCACATTTGGATTTACACTAGATGAAAATAAACCTATAGCAGCTCCCAAGCCATATCCTACAAATCTAATTTTTTTTAATTATACTTACATAAAAATAAACATAATTTTTAATATTATATAATACAAACATACCTATGACACAACTTGCGATACTTTTAAAGATACAACTTTCCATTGCACTTTCTATTAATTTTTCTTCATTAGTTTTAATTCGTACCGGACCTACAGTTCTTGGAATTATAATATTTTCTCTAAATCTTTGTTGAGTAATGAGATGAAGAGCTATTTTATCCAAATCCATATCACTTATAACATTGTTTTCACTTGTGTCCAATAAAGATGATTTAGATGGATTAATGTTAAACATATTTAATTCAATATTTTCTATATTTCAATTCATATAAAAAATTAAAATCAAATTAGCATATTATATCTTAATTATTTTGAATAATTAAATCTTATTTTTTTAAATAAAAATAAAATAAAAAATCTAATAACTAATGTAAAAAGATTTTACATAAAAATAATCAAAAGAAGAAGAAAACAATATATAATTAAACCAAACAATTATTAATCTATTTTTATTCTAACCTTTAATTTGTAGATAATTTTTTAAGAAAATTTCTTAAATTTTCAATTAAAATTTGTTAAAAAATAATTTTATTAATATTATTATTTCTTTGTTATTTAGCCATAAATAATATTGTTATTAATTTATAACAAATATAAATAGAATTACTTTTAATTGTATCAATTTACTTGATACATTGATATGTATACCATATATACATTTCAGAATTCCAAATATTTCTGAATACACACACACACACACACACACACACACACACACACACACACACACACACACATATATATATATATATATATATATATAATAATATATAATATATATTTTCTATATTTCAATTCATATAAAAAATTAAAATCAAATTAGCATATTATATCTTAATTATTTTGAATAATTAAATCTTATTTTTTTAAATAAAAATAAAATAAAAAATCTAATAACTAATGTAAAAAGATTTTACATAAAAATAATCAAAAGAAGAAGAAAACAATATATAATTAAACCAAACAATTATTAATCTATTTTTATTCTAACCTTTAATTTGTAGATAATTTTTTAAGAAAATTTCTTAAATTTTCAATTAAAATTTGTTAAAAAATAATTTTATTAATATTATTATTTCTTTGTTATTTAGCCATAAATAATATTGTTATTAATTTATAACAAATATAAATAGAATTACTTTTAATTGTATCAATTTACTTGATACATTGATATGTATACCATATATACATTTCAGAATTCCAAATATTTCTGAATACACACACACACACACACACACACACACACACACACACACACACACACACACATGTATATATATATATATATATGTATATATTAAAATAATAGTTAAAATATTAATAGCAGAAGATAATAAAAGATAGTATTTTATTGAAAATTAGTAATATATTTTATTATAACGATAATTAATTTCAAAAATACTTATTAAAATATGTATAAAATTATATCGATAGGATATTTTGCTTTAACATTTAAACTATTGATAGAAGTATGCACATATATACATTTATTTTGAATATTTGAAACGATATCTAATTTTCAACAGGTTATCATACATATAATAGTTTGTTTTTTAAAAAAAAGAACGAAATTATTAATTTATCAAAAATAATTTCAAAATAGTGTTTTGATTACCTAATTAAATGCATTAAATCATACACTGAAGCCATTGAAGAAAAAACAGAAATGGAAGAAGATAATGATGATGGTAAAAAATTGAATTTACGAAAATTATTCAAATTATAATGAAAAAATTATATCATTTCAGAAAATAATATTGCTGTTAAAAATACAGTTCCATTAATAAAAGATTTATTCCATGTGCATGGGAAAGTTGGAGAAGGAACCTTTAGTTCTGTATATTTAGCTACTTTAAAATTATCTGATGGTTCTAAAAAATTTGCATTGAAACATTTAGTTCCTACTAGACATCCTGAAAAAATTGAAAGAGAATTACAATGTATGCAACAAATAGGGTAATTGACATTTTATAAATTTGGTTATTATTTAAATAACAATAAATGTATTTATATATTTAAAATTAATATCTTTATAACATAATTTCTTTTTTAGAGGAAAAGATTATATAGTTGGATTGGAATTATGTTTAAGAAATTTTGAAACAGTAATATTTGTAATGCCTTATATGAGACATGATAAATTTTCGGTAAGATTTTTATTTTTTTATTTATGACTCAATTTTATTTTAACATATTTATTTTATTGTATAATGTTAAATTTAATAATATTAAATAGGAATATGTACAAGATATGACTGTTCAAGAAACAAAAGATTATATGATAGCATTATTAACTGCATTACGAAGGGTTCATCAATTTAATATTATACATAGAGATATTAAACCTAGTAATTTTTTATATGATAGATGCAATAAAAGGTAAAATAATGTAAATTATTTTAACATAAATTTAATATATTAATTATAATATATTAATTCTTTTATTTTTTAATAGATATTTGCTAGTTGATTTTGGATTAGCACAAGAGTATATAGCTGAAAAGAAATCTAGTAATATTAAATTAGCTAATTCTGAAGTTGTTAAACGAAAAAGATCAGATGAAGTAAAGTATCAATTATTATATAAAAATTTTATAAGTAATATATATATATATATATATTTATTATTACTTATATTACTATTATTAACTATTATTATTAACTACTATTATTAACTAATATATATATAATATTATTTTTTTTCATATTTTTCAGAATAGTTTAAATCTTTCTCTTAATTCAAAAAAGAAAGATACAGGAGAAAAGTGCTATTGCTTTGGTAAAGCAAAGGTTTGTTCATTGTGTATATCAAGACCTGAACAGACAGCTCCCAGAGCTGGCACACCAGGTTTTCGTGCTCCTGAAGTTTTATTAAAATATCCTTCACAAACGCCTGCAATTGATATTTGGGCAAGTGGAGTTATAATGTTATGTATTCTTAGTGGTACTCAGCCTTTTTTTCATTCACCAGATGACTGTACAGCTTTAGCAGAAATAACAACTATATTTGGATCAAATAAGATGCAACAATGTGCACGTAAATTAGGTATAATATATAATCTTTTTATTCAATGTAAAGCATTTCATATTTCTCCTTTTATTTTAATTATTTTATGATTTTATTTATTTATATTTTATTTTAAATATTTTTTTTATAATTTAGGAAAAAAAATTATCTTTAGTGAAGATATACCAGCAGTTGATATTGTCTCTTTATGTCAAAAATTGCAAAAAAGAAATAAGGGTTTATTAAATAGTAAAAATCATAATACATGTGAAAAGGTATTTTTTAGTTTATTATTTATTTATAATTATAATTAATTTAAATATAAATATAATTTTATATTTTTTAATAATATACAATATAATATAATAAAGATTCTATTAAAAAATATTCAATATTTTAAGGTATCATCACACACAAAGATATCAGACACACAAAAAGAATATCCAAAAGAAGCTTATCATCTTTTATCAAAATTATTAGATTTAGATTATAAAACACGTTTTACTGCAGATCAAGCTTTAAGTCATCCATTTTTTAAATTATAATGTCTATTTTTATATTAAAAATTGTTTTGGCAAATTTACAAGAAAACTATTTTATAACAATACTATAAAAATAATTAAATAATATTAAATTTAATACTAAGAAGAATTGTACATTATGAAACTTGTACATGTACATATGAGTGTATACAAATAATACATTATGTTAAATCAAGTAATTTATATTAAATTAAATAATTTAGATTTTTAAACATTTTAAATATTAAATAAATAATTTTGTTATTATGTAACAATACTATATAATATAAGATTATATTAATAAGATTGTTAATAAATGCAATAAATTTATAATTTAGTTATATCTAAAAAAATACTTAATTATCTAACAGTTTTATTGCATTATTTTTTAAACAAGATGAATTTTATATTTTTTAGGCACTTGTGGTATTATAACAAATAAATGTCTAAATAATTTTTAGACATTTTGTTTACAATATAGAAAGATCTAAAATAAATTCATATTATATATATATATTTATTCAATATTTTCCAAATTGTTTGCATTTTGTGATATTTCCACATTTTCACTTTTCCATTCCCTAATAAGTTTCCATTCTGCTGCAGCTTCTAATGCTTTAGCTGCTAATTCTTTTATTTTTTTGTTTTGTACTGTATCGCTTTTTATAAGAGCCATTAAAATTTCCATTACATCAGTTTCAATTACTTTGGCTGCAACATCTTTTGTACTTTTTATCATATTTAAAATAATTACAATCCCTCTATGTTGTAAATCAGTATTTGGATTAGCAAGTAAATAATGTAAAGATTCTAACCAATCTTTTGAATCAAATATCTTAAAACAAGATTTTATACTAACTGATGTTAACATTGCTAATGCTCCTGCAGCTGCCATACTTGTATCTAGATCTTCATCTTGACAGAGAATAACCAGATATTTAACTCTATCGTTTTCTTGTTCGTAATATTTAATAGTATCTTCACACAACATTAAATTATTCATAACCTGTGTAGATGCACGTTTTAACATTTCATGATCTTCGTACATATAAATTTCAATTTTTTGAAAACCCCCTTCTTTCAAAATTCGTTTTCTAACACTATCATTAATCCCAGCTAAGTTGCATAAAGCCATTAAAGCTTCAAAATTTTCAAGAGCAGAACATTCTGCATTTAAGAGATTTATAAATGGTCGAACTACTTCCATTATTCTTTGTCCAGGGAATGCAACTTCTGGATTTATTGTAATTCCTAATCGCGCAAGAGCTTGTGATGCTTGTTTCTTTCCTTTATCTGTACCATCTAAAGCTAATGGTAAAAGAGCTTTTGCGCCACCTTGTTGAACAATAATTCCTCGTACTTCCTGTTGACTAGAAATCGCATTAAAGACACGCGCTATTAATTCTTTACTATTTTGACTTTCGGTTTTAGAAAGTGCAACTAATGCACTTGTTACACCAGCTTTAGCTAATGCATTTAATCTTTTATTTACAAAATCTACATCATCTAATTCATGTTCTTCTGGTATATGATGTTTTGCGAATTTTGCTAATTCAATCATTTCTGGTATAAGTTCTTGTTTATCATAAGCATTACATAAATTTACTAATGTAGTAACAACACCATAAACTACAGATTGGTCTCCAGTTTTAGCAAGTTCTATCATGGCTTGAACTGCTTCAACATCTTCAATTAACTTTTCTTTGACTTCAGCATCAAAAGTAAGATATGATAATCCTTCTACTGCCCATTTTCTCATATCTTTTTGCTTTTTAGGATTAATTAAAAATCTTCTACAAGCTTCAGCTAATTTTTTCGTTGCTCCATCAGCAAATGGTCTTATTGTAGCATCTGTACCACCCGAACTGCCTAATTTACATAATCCTACTAGAGCACGTACTCTGATAGAATCATCTTTAGATTGATATAACTTTTTTAATATATTCACGCCTTGATTGATAATTGCAGTACTTTTATCTCTTTTGGATGCAGCGGCAATAATACATTCGCAAGCTACCTTTTGTTGCAATATATCATCTGTGCCTGCCATAACAAGTATCATTTCTAAAATACCTTCTTTAGCAATTACTGAATTTCCAACATCTAATGGACCCAATAATAAAGTTGTTATTGAAACTACAACACGGATCTGTTTAAATAAATAAATATGAAATAAAATTTTACAAAAATATAAATATTATATTTATATATAATAATAATTTTATAATATAATTTTTATTAAAGATTCAAATTATTGATGTATTACCGACCTTAGATTCTAAATCTGGTGTAAGTAATTTATCTTTAATATATTCATCAATAGCATTCTTAAACTTTTCTTTTGCTGCATCATAATACATATTTTCATAAATTCTTGCCAAACATACACTTGTTACAGTTCTGGTAGATGATGTAATATCCATTGAAGATTCATATTTATATTCTTCAAGTTCACTTGCAACTTCCATTAAACGTTGTAAACCATTTAGTTCAACTAATCGTTCTGCCCAGTTTAATGTAGTATAATGAATATTACGCATAATAAGTTCTATAATTGCATCCCTAGCTAGTCCAGAGATTGTTCTGCTTGTTACACTACAGAGTAAACATGATAAAATAGTATCTATCTCTTTGTTGTATTTGTCACATAATTCTTTATTTGGTTTTGAATCTGATTTATTATTCATTCCACTATATGTATTTAGCAATGTCTGCAAAACATAGTTTTAAAATATATATTTTACAATTAAAAATTTATGTTTATTAAATTTGCTAACCTGTAAATAATATTGAGCAGCATTTACTCTTTCTACAATTTTACTATTAATCATTTCTAAACACCAAGGTATACCAATATGCTTCAAAATATCTTTAGTTCTATTAATATTATCTTTACATAATTCTGTAATAATTCGAATAGCAACTGTTATTATTTCTTCATTTTTCTCAAGTTTAAGCATCTTTGTTATTTTAGAAATGATTCCATCATTAAACATTACTTCTGCTCCTGCTCTCTCCCTAGCAAGAACAAGTAAATTATTCATTGCTGTTTCTCGTTTTTCATTATTTTCTTTCATTTCGAAAGCTATATCCATCATTTGTGATACCTTAAAAAAAACGTATTTATTATAGAAATTGAATTACATTGTAAAAAATATTTTTTATTATTTGCAAATTCCAATGAATATATTATAATTAACTTATTATATAACAATGTTAATATACAAACCTTGGCACTGACACGAGAATTCTGTCTATATCTTTCTTGTACAATCTCATGTAATCTTGCAGCAATAGGCTGGATTGTTTTGTTAGTAGGATCAGCAGAAATAATATATCTTGCATCACGATATGCTTCTTCAAATCTTTCTAATGATTCTAATGCTTGACATCTACGAAATAATGCTTTTGGATCATTTGGACATATTTTAAGAGCTTCATCACAATCTTTAATTGCTTTATTATATTCTTCTTGTTTTAAATATGTTGCAGCACGATTTTTATAATATGTAGCTTTTTCAGAATTATCTTTATCTGCAAGTTTTAATGCACTTGTATAACAACTTAAAGCTTCTGACCAATTTCCTTTATTGAATTCTATATTGCCCTTTTCTTTCCATTCATGTGCAGTTAAATTTTTTATTTTCGTCATGTTGAAATATTTTTTAACTGAAAAATTATTAATCACATAAAATTATATAAAAAAAATTATTTATTTCATAAAATACAACATTAAAATTAGATTATAATTATATTAATATATTAATTATATTATTATTATATATTTTATATATATATATATAAAATATGAATATATGTTTAAACTTCAAGTAAATAAAATTTAATAATACATAATTATAATATCAAAATATTGTGTAAGAAATTAATAAGAAATTTACTTACTAAAAAATAAATATTATATAAGTATTTTTAGAATAAGATATATGCACAGTTATATGCACAAAAAAAATTACCAATTCCTCTAAAAGACTTCAATGTAATACTGAAGCTTGCACAGCTTTTGCATGATATTAAAAAAGACATAGAGTTCTAGACGTTACTAGACTGTTGCATGCCTATTTTAAACTTTGTTCGTTCTACAACTGAATAAAATAAAACTATCAGATTAAAATAGCTTACGAACTTGTTTGTAGCATTGTCACCTGTACTTAACCATATCGATTAAATTATTTTTATTTTATCTTTGTTATGAAATTTTGAAAAAAATATATTCATATATATTAAATTATCAATATTTATTTATAGTAATTTATATTTTTTATTTGTAAAATTTGTATTAATCTTGCATTTATATAAGATATTTATATAAAAGAAAAATTTTAAAATTCGTTGGCTAAACGAATATCTATATAAGTATATGTAGGTAAAGTAATATAGAATACCGGTAAATATTGGCGCGATTTTCAAATGCATTAAATACTAATAATTAATAATATTAAAAATTATTAGTAATTTTAAGAGTTAATAATATAATTATAAAAAATTCATTATATAAATAAAGAAAATACACATTATTGAAAAAAGTATTTTATTTATTTTACGTTTTTCATTACATTATATTCTCCACATCGCAATTGTATTGTAGCGACATACAGTGATTTTTAAGTTTTTGTTTCTAATTTTTTCGTTATGATGTATGGTTTATAATTTTCCATTAGATATTTTTCATTTGTGAATTAAGATTACTATTAATTTGGAAGTTATGAGCGAAAAATTTGAAATTTAATTTTATATTATATTGCTAATGATAACATTATTTGTAATAGAAGTGGACATGCAGAAAAAAATATACACATACACATAATTAAGCAATTTTTATGTAATAATTGAACTAATTTATAATATTATTGCATTATTTATGTTATTATTAGAGGACAAAATATTTATTAAATAAAATTTAAAATTGCGATGTATATTCAAATATTCTCCTAATTGATAAAAATTAGCAATTGATTGAACTAAAATATAATACAAATTATTTGAATAATCACCATACATTAATCCATTTAAGTTGTCGCAAAAATTTTTATGATATGAAGTGTTGAAAAATATATTATCAAAAAAATCTTTGTTTTTAATGTGTCGAAATTAGTTAAATAAAAAAAATATGTATATATAAACAAAATTTTTGAAATTTTTGTTTAAAATTTGTTTATTTGATAAAGAAAATATTATACTATATTATTTAATGTTTCAAAACAAATTTAATTTTAAAATATTTCATAAATATTACATTGTTTTAATAAGAAGTTTCATATTCTAATGTACATCAATACATATTTATGGTATGTGTAAGAATTATTTTATGTTAGCTAATATGTACCAATGTGTTCTATTGTATTTTAGATATTATTAAACATTGTAATAGCACTTATATACTATACATTGTTATTTGATTTATGATCCTACTTAAGTATTTGTGATTATTAAATATTTTGTGGTAACAGTTATATATGTATTTAAATTTTGTAAACATTTTTATGAAATATATTTAAATATTTTAAAGAATTTTTAATATGTCTATGAATAAATTTACACGTAATTTTATAAAGTCTGATTTATAATAAATTAAGACATAAATCATTATGTTTATTAATACCTAAAATATATTAACTTATTACAATTATTAATTTATGAAAATGCAACTCGAAATTGTAATAGAAAAATGGTATTTCTTTATACAAAATTTTATCAATAATATAATGTTATCTCTTCTAATTTTTTCATTTTATAATTGAAATTATATTTTATAAATTGCACAAGTAAATCTTATATCAAAATAGATTTATTTTTAATCACAAGAGTTTCTGCGACAAACTCTGGATCAGCAATGAATGGTGATAAGTAATTAAAAATGATCTAGCAAATTTCTAACCAGAGTCCGTTTAGAACACAGAATCATATTAAGATAGGCTACTTACATTCTTATTGATTAATAAAAACATAGTACGAATGATGATAACTGAAATGTTGCGAGGTTATGATAGAAACAGAAATTTTCTTATTAACAAAATATGACAAGACAAATGAGTGTTTTTTTATTTTAGTAGACTATTATTATTGAATGTTTCAGCTGCCTCTAGTTTCTGTTGAAGATGCTTCTTCACCTCGCTGTATTTTTAACCATTCAACAAATTCATCAAGCATTACTGGCCCTGTAAAAATATGCATATACTAAATGTATATAATTTAAGAAATATTTATTATCATTATAAACACATTTACACACATGCTCCATCTAAATCATAATTAGATAAATCGTGATTGATTGTACGAGAAAATTCTAAAATGTTGCACCACTGATCTTATTAATCACTTTGTACTTCGATTGATCTAGGAACTGAGCAAATTGGGTGAATAATGGCCAATGTTTTCCCAAAAGTAATTGTAACATAACTCTTGCTGTTTCCATATCCATACTTCTTTGATCTTTGTCCTAACATATAATTCATAATATTATCTGTATATATATATATATATACATATGTTTACAAAAACTTTAAAGTATTCTTAATATATTACTTACTCTAGCAAAATCATAAGCATATCTGTAAATTCCCTTAAATGTATGTGGATCATTTAATTGATTCCTTAGGTACTCAAGTTTTTGTTGTATTTTACTAATAGAATCACACTGCAAGTCTGAAAGGCCTTTTAACCATTCACTGAGTGTGAAAAAACCCATTTGTCGAGCATTCATTTTATATGCAAGAACAAGCATTACTACATTTTCAGGTTCTACACCTATATCCTCACAAAATTTTTCCATTCCTTCAGGTCCAAGAGTATCTGAATCATCAGGTGTTGTGTATTCCCTAAACCATGTGATACAACGTTTTTGGGAAAAAGATGAAGTGGTAGAAACATCTTCTGTTTTTGTATAACGTCTTGCACTAAAAAAAAATGAATAACATATATAGTATTTGGTATAAAAGAATCTTTTAATATAATTTCAAAAATAAATCATTTAAATAAATTATTTAAATAATAATATTGAAATGTATGAAATGAATATGTTATAATATTTAATTTCATGTTACCATTAATATATACATACAGTATAAATTTGAAATGTTGTAGTGCAATTTACCTAGATGTATGTCTAAGTCTTTTTGATGGGTGCCTTGATATACCCTCCTCATGGGCACTAGGTGACATTTCAATAGTCGTATGATGATTTGTGCTAGAGGGCGCTCTACGCTTGCTGCGTGGCATCCCTCTTTTAACTAAAAAAATAATTTAACATAAATATAAAATATTAAATATTTTAAACTACAATCACTATATTATATTTCATAATCACTATATTATATGATGAATGAAAAAAGTTAATTTTAAGTATAATTTATTAATTTACAATAAAACATTATTAATGAAATTATTAAGAATATATATTTATAGTCATTTTCAAAACTAATTATAATAATTATAGTATATTATACTATATTTATTTAATTTATATAATTTCTCTTTTCTAAATTATACATATATATGTATTAGTTTTAGTTTAATATATAGATATTTTTTTTTTATATTAAGATACTTTTAATTTTATTTGATTAAAAGAATCAAAAATAAAAATTTACAGAATAATCATAATAGATAATATAAAAAAAGATATATGAAAGTAACTTAGAGATGTAATAAAATAATATAAAAAAAATGTGAATAAGTTACTTACCACGCAGCAACAACGTAAGTTATATAAAAGATTAAGAAGATTTAAAGAATCCGTAATATAGCTAGTTTATACTGACATAAATGACATTTCCTTTCAGTCTTAAAAGATCAAGTTTGAGGTTAGGTTCGGCAATTAATCGGAGTATATTGTAATTTTTCGATGTTTTTCACTTTAGCTTTAACCGCTTTGTACATGTGATGTCGGAAATAAACACCTAAGAATTATTAATATATTTTTTAAGATGTACCGATTTTGAATTTTGTCCTTATACAAAAATAGATGAATCAAGTTAAATAATTACACAGCTTATATATGCAAATTATTTTCTGCTGCGATATGAGTCGCATCATAACATTAAATACTTGTAGAAATGTGAATAAATGATTATCATATTATAATGAAATATACAAATGTATAATAAATTGAAAAGACCCTCCCTACCTTGTTCAACGAACCACTAGAACAATTGTATCAGAAATTGTATTTCTCACAGTAAAAAGTCAACATCAATATAAAACTTGCTTTATAGTTTAGTCTATAAAAATAATATTAAACATAGTGCCAGCATGTCATCAAATATTTAACTAATTTATTAATTTGGATATTTTGCACTACCTAAATGCTGTATAGTTAAATAAAATTTTTTTGCACCTCAGTTTTATTTCATTTTATTGCCGTTTTAAGACAGCATGCCTTTTTCGCAGGGATACCAAATGTAGAATTTATATCTCACTATGAACAATTGCAGAAGAAAAGCGAATATTGATGTTTCAATATTAATTTCTATTATTTTAATATGAATGATTTAATTTAATCTAATCTAAAGTAAGTAAAATCTAAAGTAAGTAAAAAACAATTAAATAATTTGTTATATATTAATAATTATAAAAGAAATAATTTGTAAAATATACAAATATAATTTCTAAATTAAGATTAATCTTTTATCGATAAAATAATAAGAATAAATTATAAATTACAAATGAATTAAATAATAGAGATATTATTCAATATATCTTTTGTTTTATTATTAGGATGTTTGTAAACATCTTTACAATTTTGCTATATCATTTTTAATATCATAAAGATTTAAAAATTATTCTATTTCTATAAAATTTTAATATATAAATATAGTAGTATAGTAAATAAATAGAATAATAAGCATTTTCATTGTTCCAATAGATATATATATTTTCCATTTAACGTCCTCGCAACAATTAATTTTTTATTATATATTGATAAAAATAATAAATTCTTTTATTTAATAATTTATTAATTATTTATTTATAATTAAATTTATTTTAAAGTTTATTGAATAATAAATTATTATTTTAAATTAATTTAATATATTACAATATTATGAATCATTATATTATATCAATAAATTATAAATTATTAATAAAAAATTATAAATATTTTATATTAAAAAAAATTCGTTTGATATCTAGAAATAGCTCTGCGGTATTATCGATACATCTGCTGCGTTTGATTTTGATTGCTGAATTAGATGAGAATAGTTTTGTTTCAGCTGTCGTATCATTTAAACGTGTCAAAGTTACGCATACTCGATTATATATGTTATTACTATATACTATAATTTAAAACTATATAAATATAATTTTATAAATTTGCAAATTAAATCTTTGGCTAATTCAAGAGATGGCGCTGAGGGTCAATTTTTATCGTATCTCTATCCTATTATTTTTTCGTCCTTTTTATATGTTTTATATGTTTTATTTGCGATATTCTAGAGATGGCGCTGATTCCATAATTTTTATCCTATTTCTTTTTTCTCATTATTTGTTCTCCTTGTAAAATGTCTTCTATGCAAAATTCATGTGCTCAAGAGATAATTATTAATCGATTAATTTTATTTTGAAAATTTATTTAATCTATCATAAGACGTTTAATAATAATTTTAATCGTTTTGTGTCTTTTGTAATATAGTGTGTTTATTTGTATTATTAACAAGATTTTAAGAAAAATTAAAATATTTTTGTTGTAATACATTGATAGACATGTCAAAGTTGTGATGTATTCTATATTTCGACAACATATTTTATATGAAGTATTAAGAGTTGATGGTACCAGTATATATACAGAGAATAATTATTAAGAATTGCATCGTATTTTTGGTAATATAAGTTGATATTAATTTTTTAATATGCAAATATATATTATGGTGATAGATATATTCACAATTATTATTAATAATATATTCATTTAAAATTGTTTAGTATGTCATTTGAATGATAAAATTGACATATTTTTCGACGATATTTAGACAGTTTGATTTTACAGATGAAATCTTTGGACATGCTCCCGAAAGCCGACATAAAATTGTGACCCATCTTTCGCGATGCGAACAATCGTGAGTGGACGGTCTTTCTCTCGTATGCACGTTGTTCCCGGAGTAACGTTTCATTCATCATTCTGGGCAGCGTGCAGTTTGCGGATTCTGCATTCGTTTCCGGGTGGCGAGCAGTGGCACTTCATTCTTACAGGTTACGTCGGATATGCCGAGAGACAGGTCAAACCAGATGCCGAAGCATTCGAAGCGTGCCAGCTTCCTCCAACGTTCCCTCTTTCCTATTTGTATTTGCCTGAATTTCATGGCCCCGATTTTCCTCGTTAGTCGAGATTCTCCGCTCCCTCCTTCTTTTCCTGTCAGCTCGTCAACGTTGGAATGAAAAAGAAAATATATCTCGCGTCTCTTGGTTCTCATGATATTCCTCGCGTAACGAAGCACCCTGCATATGCTTTCATACAGCAGAATTCATGGACATTAGAAGGAATCAGTTGGCCGTATCATCAAAAAAATATTTTTAAATCAAACACTATCTCATATAATATAACTATCTTATATATTTTATTTCCTCTTTTGGTAGATATTTTATATTCGTATTGCGAGAAATAGTTGGTACATTGCGTTTCCGAAGGAATAAGCAAAGTTTTAAAGTCTGTAATGAATAATTAAACTTTTGCCACACGAGAAAACTTTCCTACATCCTGTATTCCACCAAGGTATTATCCTCTTTTCTCTTAACTCACGATTCTTTTCTATCTGGGCAAACTTTCGTCGCTGTTTTATATATATATATATATATATATGAATGAAAGAATTTGATCGGAAGTTTAGAATCAAAAGCGAGAAGAAAGTTTGATAGTTTTTATCTAATGTAGGAATAATTGTCTCTTGTAATCTAAAAATTTAATCTTATTCGAACGTTATATAGATTAATATTTCAATTCATTGGAAGACTTGGAAGAAATTCCATTATTGGACTGTATATTTAATTGATCATCCTGACTCTGCTCGTTCGATCGGGTCGTTTCATCACAGAGGAGAAAAATCATATAGATTGCTGTCATCAATCAGAACCCTCCCTCGTTTTTTCCCTCGTTGACGAATTACAAGGAGAATCGTGTTGTAGCAGTGTCGGTGTGTATCCCCCTTGAATATCAACGTCAAAGTCACGACAAGTACGGATTGTTGGGGAAGGGAACGCTTCGCATCTACGAAATTTAAAGGTATCGCCATCCGTTGTCTCGGATAATTAAATGTCTATTGGAAATTCGTCGAGGACGGTAACCTCGTCTATCCTATCGAGAATTGATCGAACGTCTTCCCGTGATCTCGTTGATTGTCTTGAATTACAGGTAGACCCTGCTACCGGCAGATCCATTCTATCATCGCAACGAAACTACTTCTCTACAGCATCGCAGACTTATCGTAACGTTACTTAATCAATCAACCGATATCGATGCCTACTATCCTTGCAGGACCCGGTTCTGATGTTTTTATGGACTACATTTCGCCGAACTAAAATCTGCTTCTGACTTGCATTTGTCATCCTGATTGGTATATAGGTATTTGTGAGCCGGTATTAATGTTAGACGAAACTTTCGTCGCAGCAATTTCTGATTAACTCTCTAACTCAAGTTTTGATATCTCCGATTTTAGGTCGTGGAAAGTTTCCGATAATTTTCAGGATTTGTGGTGAGTTTTAACAGCTGTCACACGATTTCGCGATTTTCTTTTTTTTTTTTTTTTTTTCAATTCTATCTCGAAGACAGTTGAAGGATAATTAACGGTAAGAAGTTTAAACAGTTTATTTTCTCTCGAAATAAGAATTATATATACGTAACATGTTCAATTTTTCAGTTTTAAGTTTTCCAATCTGAGCTGCAAGAGAAAGGTGGTCGAGCAACAGGGTGATACCGAAACTTGGCAAAATTCACTGGCCAGGATTTGTTCTCTTTTGAGGAGATTCTTTTCTAGATATACTCTGTCCGTTTTGGGCAAAACACGTCTTTTATGACGACAGTGAATTATATACCGCCACGCTATCCTGATAATAGCCCATTTCGTTTCGTGTCGTCACAGTCGGTGTGTACTTTTGTTCGTGTAAGGTGTTTCCGTGTGTGAATTGAAGCTATTTTCGCAGCCACTTAAGAATATTGTTCCACACAATTCGCACATGTTCGCAACTGTGCTGCAACTTCTTCAACGAAGATATAAAATTGCTTTACCAAAAGCAAAAATAATTAGGGAAAAATATTTAGATACACTTCTGGCCCACGCCTTTGTCAATCGTGGATTATTTTATCAAAGAATTCGTAGAAAGTATCTTTTTTCATCTACAATAAAATAAAGTTCCGTTTGTCGAGACAAAATTTTACCATTTATGGGAAAATTGCTTGCGAAAAAATGGCTGGCCATCGGATTTTCATAAAATTATGAGCAAATAGATCGATTCGTTTTATATGATCGACACGTCTGTCATAGATTCTGGCGGGTAGTTGACAGGAAAATCGTAAAATGTCGTGGTAAGGGTTACCAGTAAATCCTGCCGTTGTTGGCATTGATGAATTGTTAAAAGCCTCTCTGAATATTCGACAGCAAAATGGAGAATACATGTTTTGTTCTGGATGTGCAGCTGTGCTTGTCGAAATCGTATCGTGACAACCGACCTCTGACTGCCTCTTGCCGCGGTTTAAAATCGTAGCCACCCATCCGCAAGCTAATTTCGAAATCCGACTCTCCCGCATATTGATAAATTCTACATGTTTATATGTCTGCTCGCATTTTTACGCGATCTCGAAGCGGTTTGTTTATTAACGTAAAATGCAAAGTTCCCTATTCATCATGGCAGAGATCGCGTAATCGACGAGCGATGCTCGAGCCTCAACCCTTTGATTTATTTCATTGGATATTGGATTGTATTTGTATAGAGTCTTGATTCTGATAATCAGTTTTATCTTCATAACGCTGCAGTCAGAAACACGATAATTATGTAACATCAATTTTCGATATCTATATCTGAACTTGTATAAACTCGTATTTGTATTTATTGTTTTCAAACGAGGAATCAGTTATAATCAGCAATTAATATCCCTCGTTCATCTCTTGTTAACTTTATCGCTTCCAGAGATTACAAAAGATTTGATAGTTGTACGTGAAAATTTAGTTCGTCCTATAAAAGACTTATTGTTGAGAATGTTTGAAATTAACGATAGAATTAAATTAACGAACGATATTTATGAGTTGATATCGAATCTTGCAAAAACTGCTTCTTTAAGGATCAATTCTATTTTTAATGAAAATATTATATTACCAAATGTTAGCGATTATAAAACGAATTATTTATCATTTTATATAAAATTTATCCGTAAAAGAAATAAAAAAAAAAAAGAAATATCTATGATAATTTTCAAGTAAAATGATAAGATGTGCAAAAGATCGATTAAAAGTATGCATGTTAATTTCCATGTTCATTCACTCGTGGAACCAATAAATCAAGATGAGATTGGATTTACGATCATGGAGAAAGTAGCCACGTATATATAGGCCAACCTGAAAAGTTTCCACTCGTCAAGGTCTGACACCGATTTGCCTATAAAATCTCGCAGAAAAAAAAGTGAAAATAGTCTCTCGGCGGCTTTATATGGTTTCGTGCATGCAAAATGGTCTGATTCGTCGAGGTGTACAATGATTTCTGGGAACGGAAAAAAAAAAAAAAAAAGGAAGAGGACGAATCGATTCTTGATGTTAAAAAAGCGAGGTATCCCGGAATAGACCGCAATTGTTGAAAATTCCAATTCCGTTTGAAGTATGCCGGATGATCGAGAATATAATGGAACGGAAGACAGAAAATAAATTGACTGTAATTTTTTTTTTTTGCAGAATTCGGTGAAATATTACATTGGAAAATGAAGAAATTTGAAGAAATGAAGGATATTTTCGTAAAAGGATTCTTAATCTGGATTTTTTATTCTAACATGGATTTACAACTAATTGATTTTAATTCTTAATCATTGGCGTATTTATACTTGTGGTATGTAAATTCGAATATATACAGAGTATTTTGAATAAATTGGGAAAATTTTATTTCAAGAAACATATTTTTTTTTTTATAATAACGAGTCGATTTATCTCTTTTGTTTCTAGGCATACAAGATGGATTGATATAGATCATAATTAGACAAATTCAATTTTTTTTGCTTAACTTTTGCTAAATTATTTATTTTGAAATTATACGAAATCGTATACTCGATACTGATATATTTCACTGATATTCGTATTGTTCAAAATAAGCATTTCGTATGCGCACAAATTAACATGATTTTATTAATCACGTTCATTGAATATCAGTAATTTCATTGTTTGTTACGTCAACTGTTCAAGTGTATCAGATTTTTCATTTAAATTCATCCTCCATTTCATACCATTCTATAGAAATAAATTTAAAGGGAATAAATCATATCATAAAGCCATAGATTTAATTTTTTTTACTCATGGAGCAAAAAAAAGTTTCGTTGGACGACGATATTATGTTTTGATATCATTGACTTGCAGATGAATGTCGTCAACTAGGTCGATGTTTTATTCTTATCTGTACATAATACAATATAAAAATCACATAGCGATGAATAGATTATCTCGATGAAAATAAAAGAATAATCTTTTAACGCAATAACTGGACGTATTGATAGTTCGTACTTCGACAGTACAATAGTAGTGAATTGTTTATCTAACATTTTTTTTTATTTTTTATATTTCAGGAATGAAATATGCTGACAAAGTTTGTCGGTTTGTTCACGAAACACATCGTATATTGGATTCAAAAGTGATGTTCGTTGTGTAGGAATACGAGATGGTTGTCAGATCTTTTATTTTTTAACGTTTTACCAGAACTGCATGGTGGTACCGAATTCACACTGGCTAGGCAATTTTGACAAACCTTTTACATATAATACGAATGTAGTAATATTGATGTTAGAGTTATTGAATTCTATTTTTTTTCTTTTTATTTAGAAATAAATAGATTAAATAAGTCAAAAAACTATTGTAGCCATAATTGCTAAGAATGTGATATTAAGTGGATATTAGTGAAGATGGAGTAACAAAAGGAAAAAATGATTAAGTGGAACAGTTGGAACATAAAAGACTGTATAGACCATTAAATATACAGTAAAAGCAAAAATTCTCTGTATTATTCCGTGTAACGTAAGAGATGAGGTTAATCTCTTGAACTGGACGCAAATTTTTGTTGGGAAACAAACGAGGTAATAAATTGTAGGAACACGAGCTATAATTATGGATAATACCATAATGCTGGTTAAGTGGGTGTAGGAAGTAACATATTACAGGTGAATGTTGCACATTCGAAATTGGAATTTATGGTCAGCGAATAGCGTACATTGTTAAATCAAACATGTACCTAATAAATAAATCGATACGGTGTTAATTTCAATATACAATTAAAGTATGGATAATACAATTAATATTGGGATAAAAGATACATTGAATTTTTGATAAACTAAATACATGCTTGAAACAAAATGAGAAATTATATATATCGAGGAACGAATATATAAATTTTTCTGAAATTTTGACTTTTCCTTTAAATTATTTCGATATTATTACCTTGTAAGTTGTCGCGTTTATAAACGTTCATATGAAATGCTTTACACCGAATATCAGCATGTCAAAATGCAGGAAGTGTCTACTGCTGAATTTAACGCGACTAAATTGCATCCGGTGTACGATATACGATATCTCTTTCTTTTTAAGTTTATATATATCACAGCAACGCTTTGCACTGCGTCAAATATACGGATCTAAATGCATTCCGATTTGTTCATAAATCGGAAAAATTCCAAAGTTCAAGTAAATTTAAACGGATACTTACTTTAACGATCGATATTAAAGAGAATATATTAAGAAAATATATTAAAACGATTAAAGATTTGTCTTAAAAAATTATTAATTCAATTATTTTAGTAACTCCCAGTATAGAATGAAGAATATTAAATGTTTTATTCATACGGTTTATACAAAAATTTAATCTATATATCATTTATTTTATATTCAAGCAGTATTTTAACGCTGTATACTATAAGAATATTAATTCTTGAGAATAAAATTCATCAATTTTATTGGAGAATATTTTATATTCTGTTTGTGCAATGTTTTCCTAACTATTGCCATTTTAAACGTGGGAAAAGTTCATTGTAAATTCATGGATTTTATAAAAACCGATAAAAATTATATGAAAAAAAAAAAAAAGAAAAAAAGGAAAAAAATTAACACGTTTATGGGCATACGATTGTAACAATTGTTATTAGACAATTCGAAATTTTCGAGTTTGCGTATCGTTTATATTTTATTGCATTAATTCTGCGTTATGTCCATGTATCATAACGCCGGCTATCTGTATTTATCGTATACCCTGTATCGGACTATAATTTTCTCGCATAAATTTTATGTCAAATTTATGATACTGTGTTCACAGTGAAGAGAACTAAATCGTCTAACGGCGAACATGTATCCGTTATAACACGCGCAACTTATTTACCCGCGATGTTTACGCGTGTGTTATTAAAAATTGCGAGAATACATTCCTTCACGATCCTTTTTACGCTATATTTTCCCGATACGGTTCACTTTTTCTGGTTCAATTACTTTAATTTCCAATGGATTTTCCGGTCCAATTCGCGTTCGCGAGGAATACGAAGTCAGTTTAATGCAATAATTTATGAGAAACGATATTTAAAACTTGACAGGGATACGGTTTTATTAAAAAGTTTATTTCAAAACTTTTTGATAATTCTATTTTTAGTAAATTCTTAATATTTTACAATATTATAGCAATTAATAATAACATTGTTACAATAAATATTTAGTTTCTCCTATACGTATAGATATTTTAAAATTAAATCAATCCATTTTACAAAATTAATAACGAGCGTGATTTTATTCCTAAAGTTTTTATCGTGACCTATTTTAGATAAAAATAATCGTTCGATTAAATTATTTTCATAATTTTTATTTTAAATAATTAAGTCAGGTTAAGTGTAAATTGCGATTGCCTCTTTCTGTTATAAAATATAATAAAAATACAAATTATAATAAATTGTAAAACAAAAGATTGAAAAATGTAAAACGTGGAATATCTCTTCAATATTTCAATAGATAAAATTGTAGTTGTTTTAAAATAACTCGTAATATAACATAGTGATACGAATAGATTACAAATTAGATTAAAAAGACGTTGAATTAAATCAAAATACAATTGTAATATTATGCTATTTTATGGTTTTCGACTTGTATCCATGATCATGTGTTCGGTTCATTGCACCTGGCAATAACAGCTGATGGAGCGTAGCGATCACATGTAGTTTGTTCACTTTGGTTTAATACTGATACAAATCAGGCTTATAACGAGGGCAGTCCGAATTGTGTTATGCATCAGTACAAGCATCGTTTCTGGCTCATTTTGATTTACGACGCTCGTTACTTGGCAAATTCATCGTCATGTTTCCCATGAAAATGATAAAGAATCGTAGCTATTTGATCATTATTATAGTATTTTTAACTCTTTTCAATTTCAAAGGTTTTCATTATAAATATGATACATCAATTATTTACCTGAAATAAATCAAAACATCTATTAGAAATTGTTGTATGATACTTTTTCTACAGAATCAAATCTATACAAATATATCTTGATGTGATCAATTGATAATTTATTTATATCTTATATCAAAAAATATCATCGAATTTTATCTTGTATTTGAAGAATTGTATATAATATTTTTTTTACATTTTTTCTAAATTTTTGATAAATTCCATATGCAAAATATTTCGATCTGCGCCAATGAATAAGATGAACTGTTGCAATATGTAGAGTAAGAAGTGTGTATATTTGGAGGCGATAGGTGGGAGAAGGATAGGGTGTGTGGTAGGGACGTTGGTGTATGGCGGTGCTATCAGTATCAGTGTGCCACGGCGCAACCGGACAGGCGTTTCGTGATGGGGGTGGCTGGATAGAAGCGCCTAACGGTAGCTGAGTCGTATGATCCCTTCATTCGGGTTCGCACGGCTACCGTCGTCTACTCTCGGTTCTCCGTGTTTCGAAGAATTTATCGAAACAGTTGTGCCACTGCGCTCGCATTCGTCTGCGCGAGCTTTACTCATTTTCGCGCGTGCAACTTTCTTTCTCGAGTTTTTTTATTCCGTCATTTTTAGCGTTCCGTTTCCGCGCATTCCTCATTCTTACGCGCTTTACGATGATGTTCGACTGTTATTTAATGTATTTGTTCTTGATGATAATTGCGATTCGTTTATTCGAAAATTCTCGAGGAAAATTTATCTTTATACGTGTATAATTTTTTTTATTCGATATTCGATGAAAAATAACATAAGTGATTGAATAGTGTTTGTAGTGATTCTGCCAATATTCTTCTGGAACGAAGTGTATTACTGATCACGTGTCAATTTTCATAATTTTACAACGAATTTTTAATTAATAAATTCTATGTTTTAAAAATGTTTAAAAAAATATATAATTTTATTTTATATAATAATTTTGATTAACGAAACGAATGTATTATGTAAAATTGGAAAAGGAAAAAGAATTTGGTGTCTAATAGTTCATCAACGATTCCGGTGGTTTGCTTAGTTCCGTTAGTTTCCCGCGATTTTCGTAGTTAGTGTCATGGACGTCTCCCTCGTGCATTTTTTAAAAGTGTGAACTGTGAGTGAAAATACATGATTATTAAAATACGAACACGTGAGATACATTTGGAAATTAAACACTTAACAAACAAAAGCAATTGTTGCTAGATTTTAAGTAATAAAGACTTTGAATGCATCGGATCAAAAGCTTTGATCATGTGTCTATAAAATACTGTAGTCGCCAATGATACATCGGAAAAAAAATTCAGTGTGACTATGTCGCTTCTATTGAATAGAATTCGGTTCTATGATAGATGATATTGTGATAAATCAGTGAATAAACGAAGAATGACATAAATCGTGGATCGATCGCGAGTGAATATCGTAAACGTTACCAATACGAACCAATATTCAATGTTGTGTGATTGAAGTGACGTAATGTACGTTTAACATAACCTATATACCAACATCTTCATGAACGTTGTCTTTAAACAAGATACGTGTAATCGATGCTACAAACGTATAATAATCATCGAATTGAAATTTAATAAAAGATTCTTAAATTTCGCGATAAGTGTCCAAAATGTTTGATTCATTAGGACCGACTGGTTCTTTGATTAGACGAGACAATCCTAGCAACTTGAAACCAATTAAGAGTTTGAAACCACTTTCCTGAGCGAATCTACTAATTAAAGCGGGTCATTTAGTATTCTACTGGAAAATCGGTTAATGTCGCCATGCTGGAGAGATCGAAGTAGTTACGTTTATACGTTTGAGTGGTGTTTGCGTTCGAATATACGGCAATAGATCGGAGGAACAGCCAGGAATCGACGAGTCGTTTTTTTCACGACTGACGTTTACTTGGCACAGGAATATTCGTCGAAAGAGGGAATGAAGGGCCATCCAGACAGCACGTAGGGACTGGCCCTTCTCGTTTTCGGAGATGTGGCGCTATCTACAATACACTATCTTCGGGCTTACCGTCGTCCTGCTGACGATTCATGAGATAGTCTTCGTGCAAGCTGGCGAACAAGGTAAAGACATTTTATTTTATCGTATCTTATCTTTCGTAAGGAATTTTTAGGAAATTTTTAATTACTAAAAAATAGCGATAAAATAGAAAAATGGTGTAATGCTTCGAAAGCAATTAGTCGAAAATTTGATAGAAAGAAAATAATCGGACTATAAATACTTATTTTATTTCATTTCATCGATAATTGAACGCGGAATATTGGAAGTTGCACGTTTTTCCGATGTTTGTGCATTCATACGAACTAACAATTAATGCTCCATTGAATTCTGCGGTTAACATTTTCTGTTCTGAAATTTTTTTCATTGTCGCTATGATTTTAATTCTATAACGTGTAAAACTATATAAACTAACATATAGAAAGATTGAACTGACACTGCAATTGAAAGGTACAAAATTTGAATATTGATGATTGATCTATCTATCATTAAAAATTCATGAAATTAGGAAGGAAAAATAAAAGAATTATATTAATTAAACGATTTTATGAAAATTATTAAACGCCATTGAAAAATTAACATGCCTACATAAAATATATTTATATATAACCTAATTGTGCAAAGTAATGCAAATATAGAACGAGCAACTTTACCATTAACCTTTTTAACTTTTTTCTTCGAGAAATATTTTCATTTACTTCATTTATTTTAATTATTATTATTAATTGTGTTGACATCAACAATTAACTGATAAATTTGAATTAGTTCTCGTAATTGCTGCGAAACTTTTGTCGTTTGATCGAACGGTTTCCAATATTTTACAGTATTCGTTTCGCATGTATCCATAGTTATCGCGAAGTGTGTAAGACATCGACAGTAATGCAATTTCCTTCTGTCAGGAATGTTATTTATCAAAAATTTCTTTTTCATATCATAAATACGTGTATCGGCTCTTCGTTCTTGATAAAATAGATGATATTGTATCGTTGATTCATTTCTTTCACATTTCTAAATGAAACAGTTTTTACCACTCGACGATAATTTTTTGTGCGAAATTAAGGTTCTCTCGATTATCTTTATCATATCTTATCGACGCATTTTTTCATTTTCTTCTGAAACATAAAAATCTAATCAGATTTTATATCAAATTATTAATTTTCGATGACACGGATAAAATTCTTTCATATATTGCAATTTATCGTAAAATATCGAAGAAGAATTTTGAATCGATAAATTTTATCGATTAAAAATTTTCATTTTCTAGCAACATTTTCTATTATATCTTTATCTCATGATTCTGTTTGGTCAGCATTATAATTTCACTAATAGAATTAGCTGTAAATCGTTTTAATGTTTAAACTTGTGACTTCGCAGCAGGTATAGCTGGTTTTGATAAACCACAATGCGTGAACGAGAGTATGCATGGTTTGTATGTACGTTGCCGCGTTTTAGCGCAATGTAAATTGTAATGGCTTTACAGTTTCATAACAAAGTTATACATACAATGTATTCAACTACATGAATTATAAATATTCGCATAGTTTGCGCAACGAAATTGAAATCGATATTTCCTCTTATCAATTTTATCGAAGATTTTCAATTCGTTATTACTTTTTTGTTTTTTCCAAGCAAAATTTTCTTGTAACACGTCATCGAAAGGTTTGATTTTATACGGGACTCAGACAATAGATAACATGTCACGTTTTTTGCGAGTTTCAACTTTTTATTCCTAGTAGATTTATTTGTTGCATTTGGTTACAACAATACAATTCAATTATTTTATATTAAACGTTATTATATTTTTATTCAATTCTCGTCAACTTTGTTTCGCATTATTATTCGATCAAATGATTTATCCATCCACAAAAGCATTGAATCTTTTTTTTTCTACCTCTCAGATTTTGTTGCCGAGTATTTTCTAACTCAATGTATCGTAACGAATGTGATTCGTAGCAATTCTTTCGCAGCTGTACACTAAAGTTAAGTGAATGGGATCGCTTTAAGCCGGCGAATTTTTACGAATCGATCAAATCTGTGTTCGGTATCGCTTTGTTCGTGTGTGAATGCAATCGAATCGTATTGTGATGTTCTCATCGTGTCCTACCACGATCGACCGCTAAAAAATGTATTAGCCCTTTGTCCATTTCTATTTTTCTTGCTGGGATAAACCTCGATTCACGTCTATTTTTTAATTTTTTCTTTATTTTTTAATCGCTCGCACACGAATCGGCGATGCAAATACATGTAGAATCGAGAACAATTTGAATCTAATACGTTCGATTCTCTGGAAACCAGAGAATCCATACAACTTTCATCTCGTAAAAGCCATCGTTTTGGCTAAGCAATATTTCTGAGAACAAAATACATAGTTTCTGAGTAGACAATACACAATAACTAGAATATTTTGAAATGCACCCACCAAGTTATATACTTGTATGTGATCTCATAACCTACATTTTGGATTTGTACAAAATCCCGTAGAAAGCTTTGCAAATAGGTACGCGTCTTACTCGTATCTACTATAGAATACAAATTATATTTTACATACGAGTTTGCCCTAAATACATACATACTTCGCGTAATAACTTTACACAGAACTGAATAATAATCTTAGATCATAGATCTTGCGACGAATGACTAAGTTTTTCGTATTTTTAATGCCGCTTTTGTATGTTATATTGTATGAAATACGAAATAGGTTAAATTTAGGAATACATTCTGTTTACGGGATTGTTTATTTATGTCTTTTCACGATTTATATTTTTTTTGAAAATCCTGTGATAAACGTCATAAAATATTCGATTATTTTGCGTATGAAAGGAATAGAAATTGAAAACATAAAATATAAATCAACTTTTTGAAACGGGGAAAACCGAGTTGAGAAAAAATAAAAACGAAGTTAGTAAAGTTAAAACAATACTTCCTTTGATATAAATTTTAATCTATTTTCTGTTCACGCCTAATCGCACCATTTTCCCCGATATCTAACGTTTTAATTTAATAATCGACACCGAAATTCGATTACTTAAACCAAACATTATGCCCACTCTATTAAGCATAATTGTTGCGTTAAAATGTTAACGGCGGAAAATGATATCGATATCGATCACGAGGGGAAAAAGGGGAGAAAAGGATCGGGCAAGGTGAAATTTCACAATAGTGTGTGGCTGACTCTTGGTCAATTAATTTCGCTCCATTACACGAGCCAAGCGGAAGATTAATAAACTTCGCCTCGTCACGCTCGTAACGCGTGCCAGCTTAGTTTACCTTGGAGTTTATCTACCAGTGAGCATAAATGCTCGCAATTTGTTCACGCTTCTACCAGATTCTACCGGGATAATAGAAATTTCATCGTACAACTGATGTTCTAACTCATGCTTCGCGGCTTTAAAAAATTAATCCCTTCCATCTTCTTCCTAATTCTTTCATTACCACTAATTTGATTCGAATCTTTTTACAAGAGCGAATTTACGCGCGAATGTAACTTGATCTAATACGTAAAGCGTATCGATTAATTAGAACGAATTTGTTCTATACTATAAGTTTTCCCGCCCTATCTTTGAAGATTAAGTCGAGTTCAGGCACAGTTATGGGGCTAACTTACGTCAAATGAAAAAAGTTTTATTCCGTGAAGCTTGGATACGAAAGTTTTCCGGTTGTATATTTGATTATATCACGTCACGGTATCTTCTTTCCCACGCAGATATTTCGTCCGAGTAATTCGTAACTTTCCTTCCCCGAATTGCGTTTCAACAACCGAGTCTCGCGATAAAACCGCGTTCAATTCGAATCTTTTCGAGAGTTCTCCTCTCCTTTCGTTCGATCGGACGAGAGTGATCGGCGAGTGTTTCTTCCACGTCTAAAATTGGATCGTTTAGTCGGGGTTGGCGATTGTTCGCCAGATTGTCGACGCTATCCAACCAGTGGTTTCCGAGATTCATGAACGCTTCGTGCGATCTCCGCTGTGTATCCTTGCATCGAAGTAAGTCGAGGATAGAGAGAGCGGAAATTAGACACTTGACCCCCGTTGGACAATGTGTTTCCGCGCATTCGATCGAGACAGAATTGAATAATTTGGCAAAGATGGAAATAAAATTTTCACGTTGAAAATTTCCCTCTACGTTGAATTTTCTCCCATTTCGCTCTCGATTCCTCGTCCTTGACGGAGGATGCAAATTTTATTCTTCTAGTATTCCGACTTTTTAGCGCGAATAAAAATATAATTTTGGAAGAAAAATAGACTAAAAGGAATCGAGAAAGTGTCCAATATATTAAAAAAAGTTAAGACACAATTTTCTAAGCCTATAAGGAAGCTTATTATGCAAGCGAATACGGGTGAAAGCTTGTTAACTTTTCCTACGCAATAATACGAGAGAGAGAGAGAGAGAGAGAGTTTCTCCGTTTCACATTTCTGAAACACGCAGCCACAAATTATCCCGGATAATCCAACTTTGACGTCCGATAACTATTTTCTTCTTCATACTTCCTTGCGTTCCTTTCGAAGCTTACGTATGCTCGAGAATGCTTAACAAGTTTGAACATAAAAGCGACTTTAACTTTTTCCTGTATTTCATTTTTTCCCATTATACGTACCAGTTGATCGAATCAAACTTTTATAATGAGGATTTATACATCGTATAGTATACGTCGACTCGAGCCAATATTATATTCTACGCAGGATATACACAACAGGATGGGAACTCTATCAAAATTTTTATTATAACGGGAAGACTCGATCTATTCGTTGCCGTGTTTTTTCTTCTAATCGTACGGAATGAAACGCGCGGGCTCGCTACACGTCACAGATAAGAGGTGTATCCGAGATTCGCTCCATCTTGGTAGATCCTCCGGGTGATTAGAGAGTTCGAGACACGAGTCTACGAAATCTAGATCGTACATCGTTCGTCCGTAATCTTTGCCGTAATCTTCCCTACGCCAATTTTGAGGGGGCGGATTATTGCTTGTACTTAACACACGTGCGTGGCATAAGAATCGTTAATTACGGTAGCAGATGAAAATAGGCCTATAATTATGAGCTTCTACTAGGAGGCGTTTAATGGTTAGC